ACTTGCCTCATTACTGTTAAAACTCGGCCTAACATGTACGTTACGGATAACGTTTACGTTATTTGTAACGTACATGTTAGGCCGAATTTTAAAAATAACTAGGCAAGTTCGTATGATAGAAACCTGTTAAATTAGAACATAACAGGCGGAAAATAACAGTAATGTGTTGGAAAAAGTTTTCCATCGTACGAACTTGCCTTGTTACCCATTGGGTGCTATGATTGAACGTTTACGTTATCCGTAACGTACATGTTAGGCCGACTTTTAACAGCAAAGAGACAAATTCGTATGATGTAAAGTCTCATAACACATTACTGTTATTTTCCGCCTGTTATGTTCTAACTTAACAGGTTTCCATCATACTAACTTGCCTCGTTACTTTTAAAATTCGGCCTAACATGTACGTTACGAATAACGTAAACGTTCAATCATAGGACCCAATAGCGGTTAATGATGATCGTAATAATATGTTACAAATCCAAATATTAGAATGAAGATATATAATACTTGGCATTCTATATTATACTCTTCACACAGTTTAACAGACCTCCCCTTAACCCCCATTTTCAATCAGTTTTTTTTTTCAGAATCGATATCGTTTTTTATATCTGAGATTTTTTTCAATATTTCAACCCTCTTATTCCTGCATTTTTATTCAGACTTTTTTCAGAATCAATTGGCTTCATCCCCTTATAAAGCTTATTTTTTCCTGAAGATTTAAATTATATGATATCGTTTTTTATTTCTGAGTTAAGATTTTTTTCTTTATTTCAACTCCCCTCGCCTCCATTTTTAGTCAGATTTTTTTTAGAATCAATAGGATTCATTCCTTTATAGAGATTGATTTTTACTTAAAATTTCATGTTGATATTGCTTTTGTTGTATGATTTCTATTTTTTTATTTTAACCCTCTTAATTCCCCATTTTGTTCACAAATTTTTTAAAAATCAATAGGCTTTTGTCCCCTTAGGGTGGCACAAAATTGATCGAATTTGAAATTTGATCGATGACATTTGATCAAAAATATATTTTTTCTTCGATCTCTGTCCAAAGTAGGCTTTTGCGCTTCGAAATACAACCCACATACTCTGATTACTATACGAGGCAAGAGAGAGGTCCGACACGCCCAACATAGGGCGCGGCCATTTTGATCCCTGTGACACAGTTTACAGCTAAAGAATCAGATCGCTCACTCTGCGTCGGCACTTTGGATCTCAATGTTTCAGTTTATACACTGCAACTCGGATAATACAATATATGACAACCGCCTATAATAAAACAACAGTCTTCTGCGTATCCTGAATTTGTATCACTGGAGTGGATGTTATTTTGGAACTTTCAACTGGTCCGAGTGAGCTAACTGATTCTTTAGCAATAAACTGTGACTTCAAAAATAATATTCACTGACACTGACAGCAGCAAGCAAAATATCAGGTGCGTTTTAATCATCCGCTTCTGCTTCTGGAATTGTCGGTTTAGTCGTTTTAACCTGTCAGATTAAAACAAGAAAACTGACAATTCCGAAGCAGAAGCGGATGATTAAAACGCACCTATTAAAAATATTGCGCCAAGATGTAGGCAACACGTAATAAGGGTTCAAAATGGCGGAGTTTTCTATCTCCTTTTAAAAGGCACTCAGAAAGCTGCGCAGTGCGACCATTCTCCGTATAGTAAAAGAAAATCAAAGTATATGATACAACCACAATGTTGACGTTTGAAATCAAACGTTTTCCGCGAACTGACATTAAGCTTTGTCGCTCGCCGATTGGAAAACTTGACAGCTTTGTTTCTCGCCTAATTTAAATTAGATATAATATAATATTTCCTTTTAATAAAGAATGATTTTGAAGTTATTTTGTACGTAGTTTGATGTTTTTTGTTTACATTAACTTTGAATATCAACTCATTTTTTCATGAATAACGTAGATATAGGCAACATTATTCACTATTTACAACAAATTTTCAGTTTTTAAATCCATTTCTTAAATTGATGTGATCGTAGAAAAAATTGTGTGCATTTTGAGCGAAAAGTTCGTTTGCCGCGACAACTGTCTCAAGCGGCAAAGTATCATTTTTCACTCTTAATACACAAATAGCTATTATCGAATAACATTTTATCATATAACATTTTATCAAAGAGACAATAGATCTAAAATTATTAGATCGAAAAGACAAGATATCGAAAATCAACGACTGTGTCACGAAATAGCGCTAAATAAAATAGCGCGTATCAAAAGAGTGCCTGAAAGAAATAGCGCTTATTAAAATAGCATCAGTCAACTAATTTACTTAACCTGTGTGGCCTGGAGCAATCGCGGGTTCTTTGCAATTTTTTTACGTAAAATTATAAGAAAAACTTAACTAATTTACCTAACCTGTGCGACCTGGAGCCATCGAGGGTTGCTTCACAAAAAAAATTATACATAAAATGGGAGAAATAAAAACACTAAACTAATTTACCTAACCTGTGCAGCCTGGACCATCGCGGGTTACTTCGCAATTTTTTTACAAAACAACCAATTTACCTGCGCTACCAGGAGACATCGTGGGTTGCTTCACAAAATAAAATACAAAAAATGAGAATAATTAAAAAATAATTTACCTAATCTGTGGGACCTGGAGCAATTTAAATCGATCGCTCACGCACATGTTAGGTGAATTAGTTAAGTTTTTTTTTTCTTCTCATTTTAAGTATAATTTTTTTCTAAGCAACCCGTAATGAGTCGAGGCTGCACAGGTTAGGTAAATCAGTTAGGTTTTTTGTTTTTCTCATTTTATGTATACTAGTGTTCGCCTATGGTAGAAGAAATCTTATCTTCCATAGAAGAAATTTCGTTTTTCATATAAGTCATATCAGAAGACTTTTCATCTTTTAAAGAAGAGATTTTGTTTTCCAATTCGGAAGAAATTTCTGTTTTTTAAGAAGATATAATTTTCTTCTAAAGAAGAAATATCGGACGAAACTTTACTTTCTAAGGAAGTAATGTCAGAAGAAACTTTAGTTTCTAATGAAGAAATGTCAGAAGAAATATCAGTTTTTAAAAAAGACATCGTTTTTCATATCGGAAAATGAAGAAATTAGAGAAGACGCATCATCTGAAAATAGATACGTTACCGAATCCAAACTATCATTTTCTAGTGATTTTTTAAGTCGTTCTGCCAGCTCTGATTTCTTCCCTGTCGTCTCCAGTTCACGTTCTTCTAACTTTCGACGTAACTCCGTCACTTTTAAATCACTTCCATTTTTTTATCCACTATTTATTTACAGTTTCACTTCTAACACCAATGTAATGTTTGTTTAATCCATTTAAAACATTTTATTTACAATTTATAACGTACTAATTAATTTATATAATACTTAGACACTCACATTTCTAATTTATTTATTACAATTTGTCTTTACTGTCCAACACTTCATTTGAATCTCCTCGTCCGTCGACAAACTCGCCCTATTTATATAAAGACAACTCTGTACTAGAACACTCTCGGCTTTCCACAATGATCGAGAACTGCCTCTGTATGACGCATATGCCTAAAAGGAATCACTCCGCTAGTTTCTCAAAGCGGTGCGTTTGTCTCTATATGGCCAGCTAGACTTCATACCGCGGGCAAGGAGAAAACTAGGAACAGAAACGGCTTTTGCATCACAATACAACAATAAAATAACTGTAATTCACAATTTAAAAACCCTCATTTATTGATATAATTTTTCTAATTTTTTAATTATCTATACAACCAATACTCGAATTATGTCCCCCTACACTTAGGGGGGAGTTCACCCCCTTCCACCTACATTTAGAGGGGATGAATTGATTTGTCCTTTTGGGGTGAAATTTTTTTCGTCTCAAAGTCCAATGCGCCGTACCCGAAGTTCATTTTCCTAAGTCTAGGGGTTCTATATATCGACCTCCCCTTTGGTGGGGGTGAAGTAGGGGTATGGGAAAGTTGGGCAGTTTGAAATCGTTTCAGGCGGGGTCTATCCCTTACCATTTAGGCGTGGCAGAGGAAGTGGAGGGAAGTTGGAGGAGTGGGGGAGAGTAATTTTTTTTCGCGAAGCGTTATTCGTCCATGTAATATTTTTTATGCAAAATTAAAGGGTGCTCATGTTCGCTATATGCTAATTTTATTAAGCATTCATAATTGTGGATCAACGGATTTTATATATCGAAGGTTAAAAAAAAAAATACTAACTACTTCCAAATTTTTTTTATTGGTTACTCTAAAGCTCGTCAATAGCTACTAAACAAAACAAAGAAAAAAGAAAATCAGTTCTCAAACAGAAGAGAAAATGGTACTGAACTATTTTGTCTTTGCCTATTTATAGATATGGTTTTTCTATCAAATCCAATTTCGATCATATATCGTTAAGGTTGCATGGTTTTTCTATCAAATCCATTTTCGATCATATATCGTTAAGGTTGCCACCTGTCCTTTTTTCAAACAAATTGTCCTTGTGACTTTTTAAAGGTTAAAATGTCCTTTTTTACGGCACATGTCCTTAAAAAAGAACCTGGTTTATAAAAATATATGCTGATGACCTTTTTTTTTTTAGAAGCTCGGCAGAAGGACCCGAGGTTTATTTAAAAAAATTTAAGCTGATGACCTTATTTTTTTAGAAGCTTGACAAAAATCCTTGCTTTTTTAACGGGATCCTCTATCGTCACCATTAATCCTTTATTCACTTTTGAAAACGGTGGCAACCCTATATATCGTTCCGATCAATTTCCTTTTCGATATATTATTTTTTCGATCAAGCATTCGATCTATTGTTTTCGATCAATTTTGTACCACCCGCCCCCTTAGAGATCTTGATTTTTGCTAAAAATTTCAAGTTGATATTATTTTTCGTTTTTGAGTTAAGATTTAATTTAACTCCCAGTCATTTTTAGTCAGATTTTTTTCAAAATCAGTATGCTTTATCCCCTTATAAAGCTTGATTTTTCCTGAAGATTTCAATTTGATATCGTATAGAGTATAACAAGAAGAAACAAGATACTTACCACCCATTGGGGCATATTCCTAGCCATTCTAAGCCGAGTAGAAGGATTTGAAATGTTCATGGGTTTCCACTTTTCGCTTTTATTCTGAAAAATAAATATTCTCGTTTAATGGTTAGGTATCAAGACTTTATTCATTAGTCTCAAATGGCAAAATCAAAAGCTTAAAAGTGCTTGTTTGTAAGCTGGTTTATTTTTTATTAGCTTTAGTAACGGCAAATAATAATAGCTTTGTGCGCGGTAAGAATCCTGAACCGAATTATTACCAATATCGCGGTAAAATTATAATTCGTTTTGAACCGCTTGTCAATACCTGGAACACCGTGATACAATAGGGATTGCGCGCGCAGTAAAAATTCAGAATTGTTAATGATTCGGGCATGCGCTCAAAGTATAAATTAGTAATTCTGAATCAGCTCAGGATTGTTACCGCTAACGAAGCTAATGATAGTCGTCCCTACCCCGCAAAAGTTCTGCTTCTGGGGTTAAAATTCACTTGTAAGAGAGTGAATAATAGAGAGTATTGTTATTATTATGACTAGCTAGGTAAAAGAACACTTCTTCTAGGTTCAGTGTCGGGTAAGTTCGAAAGATCAGAGGTGTCGCACAGCAAAAGTAATTAGTATGTAATTTTTATCAGTACCTACATCAGTTTTGGTCTTTTTGGTTTGTTTACTTTTTCATCCACTATTTTATTTTCCTAAAAAGCCACTATAGTGACACTACTAGAAGTATTTATACAAATGCGGAAAATCTTCAACAGGATAGTATAATAAAAATATTAGGACCATAAAACAATCTTAAAATTTCAATGCAATTGATGAGCGACTCTTTCAGGGGTAGCTATTCTTGAATTAGAGGGAACGCACAAAATTTGTATTCAAGAATAGATATGGTTGTTTGGATTTTTTTTTGAGAATCAGTATATTTTAATGTTTATTAGCTTCTCTTGTACTCTCGTTGAAATTGCGACCAGCGTTGAAGATTTACCGAATCTGTATATTTACCTACATTGAATTTCAAACAACTAAATTAAATTGTAGGTAGGTACATTAAAAAACAAATTTGTTATTTTAAGCAATAAAATCTACATAATAGTTTATTCGAATGTGTCATAAAACGTCATTTTTCGGACAGATAAAATAATCGAAAAGAACTTTTAAATATACTTACTACAAATGAACTGCTCTAAAGTACTTTTACATCCTAGGCCGCAAAAGTAAGTAGATTTGTTATCTAAACATTCCGTTTTATTTTCAGTTTACCTTTTAATACTGCTGGTGATAATTTTTTTTGCTTTTGTGAAATGGAAGTCTATAATTCACATGTACATCAAATTTGAATAAATACATTTTTAATGGAATAAGAGAAAACTAAATAAACTATAAATCGATTTGACATAAGTACACTGACATGACAGCAATTGTTCACTACCTAGTTATTCCTATCGATCACAGCCATCTCAGTTTTAAGAAAAATTGGAAATAATATTTCGGATTTAATTTTCTATATTTTTTAATATCTATAAACACTTTCGAATAAAAAATAATGTAAATAATGAAACACGGACGAAAAATTTATTTTCGGACTCCTACGAGTTGCCATGCTCGACTACGTCCACTATGTCTCGCCTGGCAATTTCTCGTAGTCGCCCTAAAAACTCAACTTTTCGTCCTTATAATATAAACTATTATGTTATTAGCAGGGCCGACAAGAGGGGGTTAGCCGGGACTAATTCCTGGGGCCCGGGCTCAAGTGGGGACCCGGCAGAGGCATGAGAGGGCCAGACAGCTTTGGGTGAGGACGGTTTTTTTTTGTAGGAGGACGGCCCTGGTTATTAGGACGAAAAGTTAAGTTTTTCGAGCGACTACGAGAAGTTTGCCAGGCGAGACGCAATCGAGCCTGGTAACTCGTAGGAGTCCGAAAATACTCTTTTCGTCTGTTTTTCATGTATTATTTTTCTATTCGAATATTAAAAACAATGTAGAAAATTAAATCCAAAATGATATTATTTACAATTTTTCTTATAACTGAGATAGGGGTAATCGATAAGAATGACTAGGTAGGTACATTCTTGATAATAATTGAACAATTGGTGTTATGTTAGTGTGCTTATGTCCAGGGCCGACAAGGGGGGGTAGCCGGGACTAATTCCTGGGGCCCGGCGCGGCATGAAGGGGGCCCGGCAGCTTTGGGTGAGGACGTTTTTTTTTCACTTAAGATGAGAAATGTTTGCTTGAATAATGTTTTTTGTAGAAATGTGATATTGAAAGGGCCTAATTTTTGTCGCGTCGCGGGACCCGACCTGGATCTCGGTGGCCCTGCTTATGTCAAATCGATTTAATTATACTTTATTTACTTTTTATCTTATTCAATTAAAAATGTTTCTATTCAAATTTGATATACATATGGATTATGGACTACTATTTTACAATAGCAAAAAAAATTGTCAGCAGCATTAAAATATAAATCAAAAATAAAACAGAATGTTTAGATAGCGGAGTCGCTTTACTTTTGCCTGGCCCTAAAAGTACTTTTTAGTAGTTCATTTGTAGTATATTTAAAAGTTCTCCTTTTCGTTTTTGTTTCCTGTCCGAAAAACGACGTTGTATGTCACATTCGAATAAAAAAAATATTTTTACACGTTTAAATTGTTTTAAGCATATTTTAGTATTTAGGGTACATTTATATACAAAGTGCGTATTAAAATTATATTCTCCTTTATCGTTTGAACAGGATAAATTCATAAAATTAGGGATACAGAAAATAGTACACAAACTTTAATTATTTTTTTTTATGATCATCGACAGTCATCAAATCTTTTGTATCCCAAATCATATATATTGCTAAAAAAGTATATGGAAGGGTAGTTATCATCTGGAGAGGATTAACACTTACCTATACCTTGCATTGTGCGGACCAAAAACTAGAAATAACAAAACAGTCTATTAAAAAGACAGTATCTTATTTTAAAATTATTTAAAGAACGCCGATATTATTGTTTTTTTTTTAACAGTTCATAATAAATGAAGATCTTCATTTTGGTATTTTTTGTGAATTTGTGTTAAAAATACAATATATGCTTAAATTTATTCATTATGTTTGTAAATTCATAGAAAATAAATATTGATGATTCGATTTCGGATTAAAAGGTGAGGTTTGTAAAGTTTTTATTAGAAATAAATTTTATAAAATAGGACTTATGAACTGCGACAAATCGAAGAGGCAGTGGCGTACCTGGGGGGAGACAGGGGGGGGACCCCCAGAAAAGACCAATCTAATAGATTTCGGTCGTGTTGACCAGCTGACCCCCTACCAGTACCCCCCAAGATGATAACGCTTACAATAAAAAATTAGATGTCCAAAATCACAGTCATCGAAAAAGTACCCTTTGGAAAATTAGACGTAACAGATTCCGACTGGTAGCTATAAGGTCTACTTGCAGTAAAAAATTGGACGTCATATCGAAAAACTATCCTGTATATACTTTTTTATATTGAAATAATGTGAATAATTTGCTTATAAATAATTGTTTGTTTGCGTAAAAAGCTTTATTTGTAGTGATACAATAATACTAAATAATATTTATTTGATCTGTTCCTACAACGATCACAAACCAGTCACTGACTCCAGAATTTGCGCAGTAAATAATTTAGCGGTATTAATAATCTACTGCGTAGAATCGTGGTGTCACTAACTGGTTTCTGATCGTTGTTGGAACAGACCTATATCTAGTAAACGAACTTACAATTGATTTTCTAAATATTTTAAAGAAATATAACTATCATCGATCGGATTACAATTACGCTAGCCTTACTACTTGTTAATACCCGTCGTACATAATGTTTTCAACACTTATAGCTCAAAAGTGTGTCATGCCGGAGCCAAGATATTTCGAGAAATTATGCGGCACTGAAAAAAATTGTGTTAGATATTTTTACTCTTCCTGATTTCGACTCATTATAGTTTTCGGGTCACGATAATAAAAATGTGTAATGAAACATGTTGTCGAGTAAAAATCATTTTTGTATGGGTCATTCGCCTAACCCTAATCCAATTAATGACTTATTTTAAATTGAATAATGTTGGCTGATGGTTGTAAGCGTGGATAATTATTTTTGGGGAGCATTTTAATTAATATTTTTTTAAGTTACAGCGTAATATTTTAACATAATATCATATACACTATATACAGTGTGGTATTCCTTGAACAAATTGTAGCCCGTGCGGAATTTTTACGATACTCGCAGTTATGGGCGTCGTTTGAAGAGGGCAAGGGGGACAGTTGCCCCTCCCTGTCTTTATCATCTTCTTGGAGATTACTAATGCCATGGAAAATCCAAAATGATAACAAGGGGGTGGGATTATAAGATGGTTACCTACCTAGGATTTGGTTTGAAGACATGGGCGTCATTTAGAGAGGGCAAGGGGGGAGCAGTTTCCCCTCCCTGGCTTTTACGACTTAGGTTCTTTAAGCCTGTTACATCCCAAAAACATAAAAAATAATACTTTTTTTACTACCAATCAGAAAATGAAAATAGTGGACAAATTTGGAATCGACAATTTTGAAGCTGAATACCAAACGTGGATAGCTAACTGGACTACGAAAGAATGGACTACATATAATGAATGGAAATAGGCGACTGAGACTGGGCTATACATGATGAGTATACAGAAAAAAAAAGAAATTATGTCTTCTGTTATCGATATTTTTGGTAGAGAAAGAAGAAATTTCAAATTTGCGTTTTCCTAAAGTCTTTGTGTTCGTCGACGTGTTTGAGTAAGTTTTTTATCTTTTTGTGTTTCTATATAAATATTTTAATTTTATATTATTGTGTATGGCTGTGTCTTCTTGTTAATATTTTTTTTATATCACTCTTTATTTTCCAACAAATATACATTCTAATTTTTTTTAAAAAAATTGCCCCTCTATAGAATTGTATAACGACGCCCATGCTCGCAGGCATAATTTTAGTAGTAAAATACAAGGAAATTTGAACGGGTTATTTTTATGTTTTATTGAATTTTATTTAAAAAAAAAACTTTATATTTCATAATAATTAAATAAAAACATATGAAAATGATATTCTTACCAAACTAACAAAATATTTTTATAAACGTAATGATCATAAGCAAGTCAAAATAAGTAGCAAAATGTTTTAGTATTCGTGACTTGCTATACAACATTCTAGACAATAATGTGGTTGATTTTCACGAGGATTTTCACAATCAACAAGATGCGGCCCAATTTTCCTTCACGTGGCGAATTGGTCACGAAGGCTTAGAGCCTTTTTATATTTTAATCGCGGTTTGAATAGTTAGTCAAGAGTTGTGACATGTGCCCCAAGTATTGGAGTTGGTAAGTCAATTTGTTTTTCAAGATATTTATATTTTTTAGCCCATATTTGTGTATGTCCAGTTATAACGTATTTTTGTAAAATTGTTGTATAGATTATTATATTTGTTCTGAGAACACTGTGTTTTCTTCATCCCTTTTTACAAAGACGTGTTAAGTTTTCGGCCAGAGGCCTAGAGTTGACATATCAATAAACCTAGGCTCTCTGGCCACGATCTTCCAAGCAGAAATGATTGCTATAAAATTGGGAGCGAGAGAGTTGATTAATTTTCTCCCCGCTAAGAAGACTATAAATATCTTTTCAGATAGCCAGGCAGCCCTTAAGGCCCTGAGCTCCAATCGAGTTGACTCAAAGCTGGTTTGGAACTGTATAAATACCCTTGAATGCCTCGGTGCCCGGAACAAAATTACTTTGATCTGGGTTCTCGGACACAGTGGTGTGGAGGGCAACGTAAAAGCCGACGCGCTTGCTAAATGAGGAACTGAATCTCTGTTCATAGGACCAGAACCATTCCTGGGCATTGCAAAGAGCACTGCCAAAGAAATCCATTTTGAGATAATGAACGGAGGGTGCAACACTCACGAACTGGAGAGATACCCCAGGGCTAACCCATTCAAAGGCGTTTATAACCAACCCTTCTATGAACGCCTCTGCTCAGGTCCGAGAACGGAGTAGGAAAGATCTACGCATTTTCAGTGGACTGACGACAGGACACTGCCGTCTGAGCAACCACATGAGAAGGATAGATCTGCAACAAATATCGGACTGTCGATTCTGCAACGTGGAGGACGAGTTTGCAAAGCACATTCTATGTACCTGCTCCGCTCCGGAAAGAACTAGGTTCCTGATCTTCGGATTTACCTGACTGGAGCCTACCGACTTTAAACAAGTCTCACTCAATTCAACCATGACCTTCATCAAAAGGTGTGGCTTGTACGGTGAACTATAAGTTAGTCATGAGCCACAATAGACCCGTCTGGGTCGCAGTGGAAGGCAATGAAATTATCCCACTCATTTTCAACCTAACCTAACCTAAGTTCTGATATCAAGAGTGAAACCCTTATACAGTTAAGGGCTACGAAGTCAAGTTATAGCAATTGAGTACTTACACAAGTCAGGCCCGAATTTACATATTTTGCTTTTTAACTCCCGGGACTTAGTCCCATAATTATTAAAGAGCACGTATAACGTAACATATTTTATTTATAATACACTTGACTATGTAAAACCGTTTAGATGGCACGTGGTGGCCAGAGAGGCTAGCTGCGAAATTAGTGTGCATCCACAGTATCCAGTATCGCAACAGTTCAGTCGTAATCTCTCCGGTCAGGTCGTGGATGCCTCACCACTGGGACATTCCACCATGGCCGTGTCATTATGGGACAACCGACAAGCGTTTAACCATGGACGACGTGAAATGAATGAGGAAGTGAATTGGCGAATGGGAAATAGTAGATGGTGGTGGTAAAATAAGCCGCAGGCTGACTGCTGCCAGGCTACAGGCGGATTAGGGCAATAACATGGGGGGTTCGAAGGGTGTAAAACTAAAATATAGCACAGGGTGGCGTGAAGAAAATTAACGTTTTGGAATAGTTAGCATATTAGGCGTGGCGCTTAACGTGTCAAGTCAAAAGTGCCTCGTACACTTTTATCTAAATCGCCATAGTTGAAGATTAGGGGCAATATTAAATTTAACAGAATGTGTAGAATAAATTAAAGAGCATGTTGAATAAAGTAATGTTTTAATAATTAAGAATTTTTTATTGCTAACACAAATTTAATCTGATCTAACACATTCTTGCTTTTCTAATAATTTAAGACGTAGCTCTGGGAAGAGTATCGTAGTCTCGTATGGATGCAGCTACAGCCATCAGCCATAATATTTTGAATTAGCTTATCTCTGGTTTGTGGTTTATTTGAATACAGACTTTTTATGTGTCCCCATAGATAATATTCAAGAGGCGTTAGGTCTGGTAACCTCGGAGGTTAGAGAACTGAACTTTCTCTTCCAATACACTAGTTAGCAAACTCGTTATTCTCTCATATTTACACCAAAATGAGGCGGTGCACCATCTTGCTGAAACCACAGGTTATTTATATTTTTAAGTGTGACCTCCTCCATTTATGTTTATTATTATTACAAACAAATTAGGGCTGTGGAATTAATCCTATTAAGCCCAAAATTACGAAGTTCATTGACAAAGACAATTATTAAATAATTAGCAAATAACAATGCATACAAAACAATAAAAATAAACTTATAGTTTTTCTTTAAAAAGTCATCGAGTCGGTTTTTGAATACATTTACTGACTGCGCGAACAACACTCGAGGGTAAATTACTCCAAGTATAAAATTTTTGTCGGGTACGTGTTTTAAAATTTTCTTTGCTCAACTTATACTCATGTCCACGTAGGCGCTCATCTGTATTCCATGGGAGTATACTAGAGAGGTTGGATGAAAAAGTATGTACCATGAAGAATTCTGTAAGTCACAATTAAATCACCTCTTAATCTTCTGTGGGCAAATGAACACAAACTCGCCATGTTAAGCCGGTCTTCATACGATGGT